TCATATACTGTTTTGTCTAGACAACTGAGAAGTTAGCACAATATGCCAAACACGGGTAAAAGCGAGAAAAAAATAATCGTTACATTTTACTTCTCTGAGATGCTTTTTGTCTCTTTTTTTCTTACATTTAAATTTATTCTTTTTTCGTCTGCGTTCTGGGCAAAGTTACTTTGCTTCGCTACTATTACAACAATTTGCGTCTATACAGGTTTAGGCCAACATCCATTTCGGCCTATCCTGGAGCTCCAGCAGAATCACAAACACAACACTAGACACTGATATCACATTCGGATGCACCCGTAGTCGGTACGAACCGTGACAGCTTTGACAATTATGGCTTTTGCAACAAATTAAGAAATAAACGAAATTGTGTCATAAAAGCCAGGTCTTGGTGATAGTCAAGATACAATCACATTGAGCAGGAAAACAAACAGGGTAAAAAATATACAGCTTTATTTTCCAGCTCTGTAAGAAGCTTGGAGAGTTTGCAGGTCAGTGACGATGAGACATCAACGTTCGCTATTTAGACTGAGTCACGATTGTAATGTCAAGTGGGCAACAGCGGTTAGTCCGAACAGAAAGAACACCGTGAATTCTGGCCGTAGAAACGATGACAAGTTGAAAGAAGCTGTATCTGGAAGACAACAGTAGCAATTAAAAATTATCTATATATATAAAAATCAATGTTTGTGTGTTTGTTTGGTCTCTATAGACTCGGAAACTACTGAACCGATTTAGCTGAAATTTTCAGGATATGTTTGTTGTGATACCGGATTTTGAACCGTCGTGGTTTGAAATTCAACCTGTCACTGTTAGAGATAGGTGACCACAATTAATGCCAAAATATACGCAACTAATATTTATAACTTTAGTGATTTCTAATTATAGCCACGTTAGTAATTGCGCATGCGCCGTATTTACCATTCGCCGGCGAGTTACGTGCAGCCAACGCCTTCTCTAATACTAATACATAGAGTAGGTCGTGGTACAGCAAACAAGACTTTCTCTATTTTTGCCACAATAACCATATTAAACACGATTTCTATTTTCTGGTTTTTTTTTTTCAAACAACCTTCGATGGGGGTGGGGGGGGGGGGGGCAATCGAGGACTATCTCGACGTCAGGGGAGACAGTGACTGCGACATTAACTTCATTAACCGTGTTAGACACGTGCGATTTCTATTTCATTAATATATCCGGAGTATCTGTCTACGAGAAAACAATTGCCTGCGGTTTTGAATTGTTTTAATCGCGACACAGTGGTAGGGACACATATGTCTAATAGTTGTGTTCTCTTTTCATTGTTCCGATTAAGTGGCTGCTTGGTCGAATGGTTAGAACACTGGGTTCAAGTGCGGTAGACCTCGGTTCGAATCCGCAGTAGTTAATTTTCTTTTACCCCGGACTAAAATAATATCCTCATCTGCTCTGTAGTGGTGACAGCACTAGCCATGTTGCCTTAATATTTAAAAAAAAAAAAACAAAAAAAAAAACCAGTAAATGGGTAAACCATTTGATAATTAAATTTGACCATTTCGCATACTTATGATTGCATTGTTAAACTTTCCGATTGCATGGTTACGCTGAAATTTTATAGATTTTCATTTATTTTCATTTAGATTTAGTTCTTTCATCTGTGTTGGAATTTTAAGCTGTGCTGTTTACAATGGCGTTCATTTCCTAATTATGGTGTTTTTTTCCTGTGTTCATTTGCTTTTCAAGTGTTGTTTTTTTTCCTCCCAACTACTTTAATGTGGGAAAGAGTTGTCGGTGAATTTGGGGGGAGGGAGGGGGGGGGGGCAAACTATTAACTGAGAGAGCTTTAAGTCACAGTAACTGCTTTACCCACTTAAAGTAGCAGCAGCAGTAATAGTTGTGGTTGGGCTGTTACACCATAGTGCTCTCATGTGAAGACCGCCGGTAAGGTTATGGCGTTCTTCTGTCGGCAAGTGAAATTATGCATCCTAACCTGACCAGTCTGTGGCGACAGCACTAGCCATGCGGAACCAAATCTTCTGGCTCACGACTCTCTGTCTACTCCGATGGTAACACAGATAGCAGTGACATTATTTTAGTAGTTGTACTGGTACTTGAAGGATGATGTGGTAAATATTACACTAGCCCTATTCACTACCTTTTACAATTCCTGCTCCCTATTTTAGTCCAGATGGACATGGATGTCAATGTCAGTTACAGCAACAACAAAATATCGCCAGTGTGATTTTCAAATCCTTCGAAGAGGGAGAGAGCAGTAGTAAGAGGGGAGGGGGTAATGACTTAAATTTAAGAGAAATTAAAGAGCTTTACACTTGATTTTCAAGTTCTCATTGCCTAATCTATATATATAAAAATCAATGTTTGTGTGTTTGTTTGGTCTCTATAGACTCGGAAACTACTGAACCGATTTAGCTGACATTTTCAGGATATGTTTGTTGTGATACCGGATTTTGAACCGTCGTGGTTTGAAATTCAACCTGTCACTCCTAGAGATAGGTGACCACAAAATGCCAAAATATACGCAACTTTATTTATAACTTTAGTGATTTCTAATAAGCCACGTTAAATTGCGCATTATTTACCATTCGCCGGCGAGTTACGTGCAGCCAACGCCTTCTCTAATACTAATACATAGAGTAGGTCGTACAGCAAACAAGTATCTCTATATTTGCCACATAAATATTAAACACGATTTCTATTTTCTGTATTTTTTTTTTCAAACAACCTTCGATGGGGGGGGGGGGGGGGCAATCAAGGACTATCTCGACGTCGGCGCAGACATTGACTGCGTCATTAACTTCATTAGACAGGTGCGATTTCCATTGTCTTTCTTTTCTAAAAACCTTTGATGAGGGAGAGGGTACTAGGTGAATTTAGTTGTGTGTGGGGGTGGGGGGGGGGGCTGATCAAAGACTATCTCAAATTACGCCACAGCAACGCGTGGCCGGGTACAGCTAGTCGTTTATAAAAGGTAAACAGGATTTAAACTAAATTCTTCAACAGTTATTTTCAGCATTTTTTTTTTCTTTTTCTGAATGATATTTGTTTTCTTGATATAAAGTTAGAGGTGACCATAGCAACATGGTGGCTAACTGGTTTGCTTACATGCCCAAATATCATGTGTTCAAATGTTTACGCAGGCAAAGATTTATTTAACAGTCACCTTGTTTTCCTAGACCTACAAATGAGTTTCATATAATGTTATCTACATTTCTAGGGTTCTAGAAAATTAGGACAGCACGCCTAGCATTGACCAATATGTAGTCGACCATTGAGCTTCGATTGAGCTTCAAACCATAAGATTCTTCTTCTTCTTTTTTTTTTTTTTTCTGTGTCAAAGAATGCCCTACAGCGTCAGGTCAGAAACAGATCTTTGGAATGGTCCCTTTCGTTCACTTCGTATTTAGTACTCTTCGGTGTCTCTGATATTTCGGCTGTTCATATTCTGCGTAGTCGGCCTGTGGTTCTGTTTCCAGTGTATCTGTGTAACGTTGATCTCTCTGGTGTCTGTCGGTTGCCAGTCTTGTTGCCATGCCTGGTGTAACCTGTAGTCCTGTTCCAGCAAAGACGAATTTTACATAACAATAAGAACATTTTCTCTGGACTCTATACTCTGACCGTACGGCTGTGTCTGTAATAAAATAACTTTCTCATAATACATAAAGAAACTCTAGCTATCACCAAAATTATTGCATCTTAAACAATGCTTGTTAGAGTTAACGAATTGCTGCGTAACGGAATCCTGTAAAAGAATCATTATCATCATGCGCCTTGACAGCTGGCGTAGGTGTTCATACATCTCTAAAGATCTCGGTCTTTGATGTTCTGGATCATTCCACTGATGATATTCCTCCATGCTACTGTCCTTAGCCACCCACCATCATTTCCCTTAGTCTGCCTCTTCTTCTACACGTGATCTTTCTAGTCGTCTCGATATTTTCCCCTGGCCACTCTCTGCACATCCGGCCCAATGTGATTATAACCCTACACAGGTTAGACTTTTCCTCTGGTACTCTGACCCACATATCTCCTCACCCAATGTTCTCCAGCATGCATACTTGTCTTGTTGTGTCTTCTGCTTGAGCCATCCACATTTTCCCCTTTTCAGCATCTGACCCTTACGTGCAGCCAGTGGATTTTGCGTATTATATAAATGTATGCGTATTATATAAATATATATATATAAATCTTTCAAACAGAGACTTCTAGTGACATAAATATATTCGTAACGCCATATTGTTAGCTACTCTGTCGGTCCAGCCTAAAATAATAGTACTAGGAAATGTCCTAGAAAGTTTGACAGCAGACATTTTTTTTTAACCACATTACTTATCGAGGACTGATTGGTCTATAAAAAGGAGATGAAGCACCACATGCCTTCCACGTTAAAAGAGTGAAAGTGATCCTTTAAAAAAATATCACGGTACTGGCTATTCCTTCTTCTTCAATTCGTACGCTCGAGTGACTTAATTGTGTTGTGCTTGTTTATAGCAAAGCTGCGATGTTCGTGCCTTAAGTCCGACACATCCGACTTCATCGATCATTTGTTGATAGGGTTAACTTCTTCATGGTAACACTAACAACTATTAGTTAATTGAAAAGAAGTTAAAAAAGAGGCCACTTTTCCACGCCTTCTCGGGTATTGGTAATATAGGACTAGACCTGCATCTTATAGACTAATTAGTTCTCAGTGGGTGATGTGGTCTGCATCACATCGGCTGCTCTCACTTGCCAGGACTATATCTGGTACCCACTAGGAGCCAAGGTCATTACAAAAATGGCGCTCCATCAGGACCCGAACCTATCACCTTCCGATCCGCAGGTGAGTCTCTAGTCGCTACACCACGGCGGCTCCCATTCAACATAACAATGCAACCTAACCTATTATTAAAACTGTTCAGAAGTTTGTAAACATTATACAGTAACTAACATATGTAATCCACAAAACGTCCTGGACTATGCATACTTACGTGAAGAGTTTGGGCTAGAATCTGGTGACATGCCTCTTTTGACATTGCTGGAGTCGGCTACAAGAAACAATTGATAATTAATATCTCAGTATCTGAAGCATTGTTTGTAGTATTAGTCATCATCATCATAATCACCATCCTTATATTATCATCATCAATGTCACCACCATCTTCATCATCAACCACCATGGATGAATTAGAGCAAGCCCTGAAGAAATTAAAACCTAGAAAATCTCCAGGCCCAGATAAGATCCACAACGAAATGCTGCTACATATTGGCCGGTCTGGGAGAGAAGTAGTTCTCAGGCTTATTAATAAAACTTGGAGGTCAAGCAAACTTCCAAAGGCATGGAGGAATGCATATATCGTCCCCATTCTTAAAACCAAAAAGCCTCCAGATGACCCCAAAAGCTACCGCCCGATATCCTCAACATCATGCTTGGGCAAAGTTGCAGAAAGAATGATAAACAGGCGCTTATATTGGTTCCTTGAGAGTTCTGGTGTTCTATGCCATGAACAGGCAGGCTTCAGAACCAACAGCTGCACAGAAGACCAGCTGTTCAGCCTGACACAAAGAATACATGATGGCTTCCAGAATAAGAAACACACAGTGACAGTCTTTGTCGACCTCCAGCAGGCCTATGACAGAGTATGGAGAAAAGGTCTCCTGATGAATATGATGAGCTTAGGAATACATGGCAGATTGTATAACTGGGTGAAATACTTCCTGATAGATAGAACAATCCAGACTAAGATGCACAACGCAATCTCTTCTAAAGAAGTCTTAGAGGAGGGCTTGCCACAAGGCTCATCATTGAGCTGTACACTATTCCTAATCTTTATCAATGACCTGCCGGAACAAATCAAGGCCGAAAAAGCCTTGTACGCTGATGACCTAGCAATATGGCAGAGTCATGAAAATGTGGAAAGTGGAGCCCAAAGACTGAATGGAGACCTTAGAAGACTGCATGAGTACTTCTAAAGATGGAAACTCAAGGTTAACTGTGCAAAGACGGTCTACACAATCTTTACCAAAAGCCACCAAGTAGCAAGGAAGAATATTAACCTGAGGTTAGACAAACACCAAGTGATGAAAGAAGAGCATCCCACATACCTTGGAGTCACACTTGACCGGCAGCTCAGCCTCAAGAACCATATTGAAGACATCAGGAATAAGGCATTGAGGCGGTTACAGTTATTAAAGAGACTTGCAGGTACATCATGGGGATCAGACAAGGAAACTCTGAGGGGCTTATATCTAGGATATGTTCGCTCTGTGATAGAGTAGAACAACTCACTGCTTACAACTTGCTCCAAAACTAACCTAGAGACTCTTGACAGAGTACAAAATAATGCCCTCCGATTAATCTGCGGAGCTATGCAGTCTACACCAACTGCTGCATGTGAAATCCATACAAATGTGGAACCCCTCGGGTTGCGGAGAGAAAAAGCCACTTTAGAAATTTATGAAAGATGCGTTAGAAAAAATCGTAACCATCCTAATAGACATCTTGTAGAAAACTGGGAATCCAAACAAAGAATAAAGCACAAATCGGTTTTATACTGTGTTAATGAAATTCAGGACAGATACCACCTCCCAGAAAGACGTCAAGGAATTCAGAATGTTGCAAGAAACCTACCACCACATGCTCGCTTTAAAGCTCCAGAAGTCCGAACTAAATTTGTAGGCGAGGAAACCAAACAGTCCGACCCAATCGCTCTTATGAACTCATCACTAAAGACCGTTGATTCTTACCCCCAAGAATGGATACATGTCTATACTGTTGGATCAGCATTTAAAGCTACCATTAAAGCAGGTTACGGAATCTACATAGGTTATCCCGATGGATCTGTTGAAGAGATTTTTGATGCATGCGGGGAATTCTGTTCAAACTATGAAATTGAAATAATTGCACTGGAAACAGCAGTATACCACCTAAAGACTGTAATGGATGTTTACCCTTCAAAGGTCCAAAATATTGTCATCTTCACAGATTCAATGTCTGCCCTTCAAGCTCTGGAGGGCAGTGAACGCTGCAGAACTGACATAGCCAAGATAATCCTGGATGCTGATCAGCTTATTACCTCATACAACATCAGAATAGTGATGCAGTGGATTCCATGTCACTCCGGTACACCAGGTAATGACAGAGCTGACAGATTGGCAAAGAAAGGAGCAACACAAGAACAACCACCTACAGCGACAACCCTCCAGACTGCAAAAACACTGATAAGAGCTATAAACAAAGAGACTTGGTTGAACAGATGGGCCATGGGAGACACTGGAAGAGAGGTTTATAGACATATGTCTAGCCCGGATCCTAATGACAGCATTAACCATCTAACAAGAAGGGACCAGGCCACCATATTCAGACTTAGAACGCAACATACTCCACTCAATGGACACATAAACAGAATACAGCCACAACACTCCCCAGAGTGCCAGCTATGTAACTACCCCTACGAAACTGTTGAACACCATCTCTTTGATTGCCCAAAACTCAGTGAGACAAGAAGAACGCTACTCCCTCCGAGACCAGACAAGTGGAACACCTTGTACGGAGGAAAAGAACAGCTTGTGAAAACATGCAAATTCCACTACATGGCATTGGGCCAAAGGGCGAAAGCTCATGCGCCGCTGGATCGATAACAACAACAACAACAACATCATCAACCACCACCACCACCACCACCACCACCACCACAACTGTTGAGTAGGTTTAAAAAAAACAACTTAGTAATTATGTGTGGTCGCAGTGTCTAATAGGAATCAGACTTTGAGCAGTTAGCAGACGTAAGTAAGGAAAACTTCGAATAGCAGGCCGGCTAAATGCATTTTGGCGTCATTCTTGTTCAGAAGAGCTGGAAAACAGTAGCGAAAACATAAAAAACGCTATACGGCTGAAAACTAGCTATCACAAAATATAAATAAAAAGGATAAACAGTGTAAAAAAAAAAAGATTTTTAAACTGTTGCAAACTAAAGCCAGGACATATTAAACGTGAAGGAAACTAATGATGAATTTAGAAAGTGGATACACGCGAAGTTTAAAAAAAAAAATAAAAAAAAAAACTACGGTAAATGAAAGTGCAGAAATAGAAACACAGACAAAAACCTCGCCAACCTATGCAACATCACAGGGAAAACATTATGTAATATATAAAGTTGCTTGACACACAATTGAAACGAACGAATAGTCACTAACATATAATGTCCAAAGAAGAGATGGATCGAAACATCCGAGGAACATTCTGGACAGTCGAATCAAAAATATTCACCCAGAAGTAATTTATCAGGGGATATAATTGTGCGAAAGTAGGAAAAATATACAAACAGTCTGCACAGGATGGATTGGAAACTTCCTTGTCCAAGTGATATTCAATTTAACGTCAATAAAACTTATTGCATAAAATATTTATCATTGTTTAAATGACTGAAGAGAAATGTATCTAACGAAGTTGCCTAAAAAATTGACAACGACACGGTTGTAAAAAATTATGGAGAGATTAAACGAACAAAACGCTCTAGATTGAATTCGTCATCCCTGAATGGGTTCCTGGGTCCCATTGTGGGGGAAAACAAGAACAGACCCAATGCCTTACCAACAAACATGTCGTAGGGGTCTACTAATTGGGGCCTCCTTTGAAGTCGGAGTGCATCTGCCCGAGCAGCAAGGAACAACAAAATACACACAAATAAGCCAGTAAAACGGATGTATACGCAACACTCAGATCCTAGCGCAGAGCCAGTGTCCAAATGGTCGAACAACCAGGATTTTTCTCTGGACTAGCTACAGGTTCAGGAAACGTTTTTTGGATCTGCAGAACGGTGCCCTCAGACCAGTAACGTTTCACTTCAGTTCCCATGTTCACAAAATTATCTTCGACACGACAGTTATGGCCATCAAATCTACATTCATTCTATTGGCCGAACAGCAGTGTGATTCTCATCGGAAATACATCAGCTAAATGATTTTATGGGTTCTTGTTCGTTTTTATAGTATTACATATTTATGTAACAAATATTTTCCTTTCTTGAAACTGTAATTCGAGATTTTTAAAATTTTAAATTTTGATTAATTGATAGGTTATTATTTAAATATCATAATCCTGCACACAAAATTTGAATCGCACCTATTTAAATTTTTTATGTAAACCGACATTCTGACATAATTTGTATTTATCATTATGACTACCTTGCAAGCTTTTTTTTTTTTTTTTTGGAGCTGAGCTTTGCCACATGTAATATTTCTTTTCGTCTACAACGTGAAAGTGCAACTGCAATTTGTAATTCCTCGAGTATCAGACGTTCTTTGTCTTATAATTTTCACACAATATTTTCCGAGTATTCAAATTACTATGAAAAATACAGTAAATACAGTATAAATACAGTAGTATTGAAACCAACTAGTACACAGCAGACTACGAATTATACAGCAGCCCATACATTACAGAGTATATTATACCCTGCCGAAATAATTTTGAATTTTACAAAAGAGTATAACGCATTCAATAGATTGAATATTTTACTGTACATTGTCAATATTTTTTAATCACAGTAGAGACGATGGTTACCGCTTCGTAATGCCGGAATGCTTGGTTCGATCCCAGCTGCGGGCCATGCGCCTTGCGTTGGTTTCGACAGTGGTATCAAGAAAGCCGACCGTTTAAAAAGCAATGGCAAACTACTGGACGTAAATTTGCCTAGAAAAATCACACAACAGCCAGGGGCTGTTAGGGTTAGTTCTGCAACGTCCTGTAAAGGATACGCAATTAACCTTTAAGAGACAATGTTACTGCAATTTTGGGCCAAGATATTTGCTCGGGTTTACCCCTCATCAAAGACAGTATTTGGTTTTCAACCAGTGGTGGTATGGAGTTAACCAGCCTATCTAATATGTGTGGCCTAACACTTTACATCTGAATCCACTATGAGGCCACCTCAGGGGTGCAGGAACCTGGGAGCCTAATTAACTTGAGCCATCACTGCCCCAGTACTTTTTTGCTGTTGGGGGCGCTGGGCGCCTCCCAGTCAGTAAGAGGGCTAAGGGCACCCGTCTGTCCAAAATGTAATGTAATATAATTGTTGTTTTTACAATTAATACTTCACATTTGATATTTTTGTGCTATTCAACACATTATTACTGGGTTTTTTTTTCCCGAAGCTGCTGTAGTGAAGCTGTCTGTGAATCCGAAGGGGTGGGTTTAAGTCGAAACTGTAATTTCTTCAAAAATGACTTTGGCTACCAGGTTGACCCAGCCTCAAAATTGTACCAGGTACCATCTGCAGGAAGTAAAGGCCACCGGTGTGATGTTGGCCATATCAGCCACCGAGTACTGAATGTTCTATATAATATAGATCTGGCCCTGGATGCTAGATAATACATGAAGACATGAAAATGGGTACTTTACTAATTGTCACCATTCACTTAAACATCGCCCCCTTAAGCCCTCGCCTGCCACTTTGAATGTGTCATGATATTGAGCCATATTTTCTTTGTGTCGGCACCCCAGGAATACGTATTTTTGGCCATGATGTAAAATGAATAACATAGAACAACGACTCACCAACCAGCACTTGCACAGCAATATCCTTCAGTTTATTGTAGGAGGACCGGCAGACATAGGTCCCTGCATGGCTGGCGTTGGCTCGGTCCACTTGGAGCGTGCTAACCAAGGCTCCCTGCTCGTAGGAGCGGTAAGTAAATATCACATAGTCTTTGTACCTAGGACCTGATATAATGTTGCCATCCTGCGTAGAGAAATAAAAACATGCATTAAATTATGAATGTTGTCTTTAATATTCACCCCCCCCCCCCCCCCCCCCGTATTAGCAGCATAGCCATGATAATGACCCACACTAATTTAACTGACATGGACCATAGCTCGTCTGATCTGGCAACTTCTGTAGCATGGCCTATTCCAAACATATTAGTGTTACCTTTCCTTTGGAGTAAACAAAGCATGTCGATATGCCGATCATGCTCCATTGGTAACGCATAGTCTCTATAATTCTGTACGGGCGTTGTGCCATAGAGATGAGAAACGTCATCCCTGGCGTTAATTTACATCGCCATAAGCTGTAATTTAAAAAAACGCAATAGAACACTTGTTTGAAGAGACAGAGAGGTGCCAAGAATAATGGAACTGTGTATATACTCCCTGATGAGCCCATACACATACTTCCTGTACTTTTCAAATTCAGATACCTTACTTTAGCTATTCGAATCTTCGTGTGATTATTTGTATGCGATTATTAGAAGTGTCAGCTATTTTCCCACATTAGGGATTCCGTTTATCGTTATCATCCACACAGTTAGCCTTGTAATGTACGGTAACTTTGAACTACACTAATAGTATACATTTGCAGTAGATTAATTCGTCGATAGTTGGTTCAATAAACACTAATGCAAGTACACTGATACTATAAAACGCATTATTCGTAATCTGAAAGCCTCTATTAAACTGAGAGACCGCACCAAGTGTCCATTCGCCGTTATGTAATTTTCACTGATGAAATGCATCCACGTGTACACACAAGCAATTGGTTCTTGCCTCGAAATACTTTTATCGCAGAAAAATAGGACTGCGTCACGACAATTTACGAGGCCGCTTGCTGTTTGTTGGGAAATCTGATATAGGGTTGGCGTAGAGGCATGGCGCCCTTCTGACTGTCGATGTCAAAAGGTATAGGATTCTGTTTTCACATTTTAAGTATCAACTATACTGTGTCATGTGTGAGACTGATCAGTGTACGGCGAATAATGTGGTAAAAACAAATTTCTTCTTTTTCTTATGCCGTCTATCCTCTAAAGAAGCATTGCTCTCAACCAAGTCACACGAAGTCGTTCTATCCTTCGCTATTGCATGCAGCTCAAGCCAGGTCCACCTCTCTAACTCTCTTATTCATGTGTTCTTTGGTCTGCCTTTATTTCTATGCGCTGTGGGTTCCAGTGCAAGACATTCTAGTTATAATGTTCTCAGATTTTCTCAACATGTGTCTTATCCAGCGTCCGTACTTCTTCCCCTTTCGGTCTACTGGAATTTGTTTAAATATTCTCCAAAGCTCAGCAATACTGATATTTTTCATACCAATTCATTTACTATATTCTGCACAGGCACCACCAGTTAATGAATGTTTGTTGTTGTAGACTTATAAGTGCACGGTGAATGATGTGGTCAGAATCTCTTTAATCTATTTATCTCCTAACAAACATTCTGGCACCATATTTAGACTTGGTTTTGGTCACCAGATAGTTGAAAATAAAAAGTAAAAGACCCTTTTACACGCCTTTAGGCGTATCGGGCATACGTGATATAAAAAGTATAAAAAAGATACCAGGTAATATATGTGAAGTTAAGGCGGCCGGCGTCATGTTGACCACATCACCCACCCAGCACCGAATGGTCAGTACAAATATGAACCTAGCATTATGAACCTGATACAGCATTTAAGAATAAAAGGATCTTCCATATTTTATTTGTTATTATTATTATTATTTTTAAAATGTTATACTGGGTTGATCTGAGTGTCCAGGTCAGTGAAATATATCTCCTTCCAGAAACTTTATAGAGTGGGTGTAATAGTAATCGGTGGACAATTTTAGATATACCTGTTTGTTTTTTTGATATTCGTGCATTTTCTTAAAGATGATGATGCATAAACTAACGGTTAACAGAGTCATGATAGTCGAAGTTTTGCTGTACAACGTTACCCTGCATCTTGTTCCTTTCTGAGGTCCACCCATAATGTTGACTTTTATTTTTGTCTTTTTGTCACAGTCCGAAAAGATATCAAAGCAAACGATAAGAACTAGTCAGCTTCACATTATTAGTCAAAAACTACAAGTTAACGTTGCGGCTAGAAATCCTTCATAAGCAAACGACGTACATTGACAATGTTACATTTAAAAACAATGATACACAAAATCCTTTCAAGGAATTCTTTTCGTGACAATTCCATATGTATGTCTGGCTAATTAAAAATATAAGGGACTTGTTAATACAGAAAATATATGCTAGTATGTGAAAGGCAGGGGCCGTAATTCTCCCGTAATTCGCCCCTTAGGCGAGTTTGACCTCATTATATACATATTGCGGTTCTCAAGAGACATACGAAGTGGCTAGACTTGATAGCTGTAACCTTATGTCGAAGACATCTTGGTGGCTACGAGAAATGGAAGCCTCGGCGCTGCTTTGCGCACAGTACTGCACATTAGAAAGATGCTGCCTGCACCTGTCAGCTAGCCGTTACCTAGTTTCAGCGATGCATTTTATATCGCATCTTTTGCAGATTATGGCGTAAATTAGAACTGCGGTTTGACCAATAGAATTCTTTACCCATGTGGAAAGTGGCGTTATGGACTGCAAGACTACCCGCATTGACAGCACACGAACAAGTCATACATACTGCTCAGTGTCAAAAGATAATACCTAAGTGGGACACCTAAGTGGGACGTAACTAACCCTTTATTAAAACAACACTAAGATTACGATCATATGTGTATGCAACTAAAGGAAGTTTGGAGAAAATCGTGCAGGTGGCAGAGTGATCCCGCAGGATAAAGAGGTGCATGAGGAGAAAGTTGAGAAGTTGTTTGCACAGATGTTGTGAGGATGGTAGGTCAAAGAAGAATAAATGTCTGTAGTGGTAATGTTTAGGTTTGGAAGTGACGGCCTTAGCATGATTGAAAGACAGTGAGCAGTGAAAGGAAGCAGAGAAGAAATCCAACATATACTCCATGTAGTATGTAAAGGTAAGTAAGTAAAGGACTCTTTTCGAAGCTTTTAGGCGTAAAGACCTATGTTTTATAGATCAATCGACACAAGATAGGTGATGTGGTAAGCATCATGCCGGCCCCTTTACTTCCCTGGCCGCACCCAGTACCCACTCAAGGTTGGGGCGACCTGGGAGCAAAGGTCATTTTTGAAAAAAGTCCGGCTCCATCAGGAAGCGAACCCAAGACCTTCCGATCCGCGGTGAGCGTCTAGCCGCTCCGCCACGGCCACTTCCCCATGTCGTATGGCCTTGGTTATCTTACGTGTCCACAGCCTTCTGCTCCCGTACCATCAACCACGCCTGATACAGATGCCCTTCCATAACATGAAGTCAAACTATACAGCGTCTTGACGTTACTGCCTCTCCAACTTTCCTGTTGTCACTTCAGCTCGCCAACTTCTAACGATTGCACCAATATGAATGCATTTTTTTCCTGATTGTGTGTTCTAAAGCATACATATTAGTATTTTTTGAGAATGGAGGTGGAGGCATACTGAATGGAGGTGGAGATGTACACACACACACCGTGAGTGTAACTGACTCAGAGAATGTTGAGAAAGGTGGAGACAGGCATACTCCGTGCAGAGTAGCAAGCATCACTTCAGAGGTCCCGGGTAGTTAGCATCCTTTGGATATTTGTTCCAGAAATGCCGGTGTGTTGGGAAATGAGCAGTAGATAGACTGGCCAGTTTCGCACCGTTTGGTGGTGAACTGATGTATGATAGGCTAAAATTGTGATGGCTCTCTGGGAGCGATTGAACAGTGCGGAGGCACAAAAGATCATTACGGTCTGGGGATAATGGAGCTGCGAGGAGCTACCAGGGGATCTGGCCGGCGCTCAACACTCAGTAGAAAGGCGTGGCAAATATACAGTCAGTTACTGGTGAAATCGAAATTGGAACTCTTCGCTTGCTGCTGAAGATGGAGCGCTTATAGGGGTGTCCCGAGTACTGTGATGTCGATTCTTAATTCAACATTTAACATATTACTAGTTTACATTAGCAATGCATTTTGGTGTGCAAACCGTCATCAGCATCATCATTGTAATCGCATAACACTGCGTGTCGTTGAGAAACCAGATCCTGTTGACAGTAAGATGCAATGGACTTCATTTTTGCATGCCTAACGCCTGTCCACTATCGACTGTTAAAAAAAAAAAAAAATCAGTATGCGAGTTTTAGAAACAAGGAACTAACCTTGAACCAGTCTATTTCCTCTGCTATCTGCAGTCCGCCGGTGGCATTGCACTGCAGCTGGATCATGCCACCCCGTTCAACGAATTGAGTTCCTGTCAGTGTGACATCTGTAAGATATCAAGCACATCATTAGTGTCACTGTCGTTTTCTTTTGTCGTTATCGTTGTATGTGTATGTGTGTTGGGTGGGGGTTGGAAAAAAAGTAGGGGCGGGGGGGGGGGGGGGGGGAGGTTAGGTGAGAAGTGCTTCGGTTTAAATTTGCGTCAGTCAATTAAAAAAAAAAAAAAAAAAATAAGATCCCACTTAAACCAAGGCTTAAATGCGTACAAGGAAATGTCATAGGAAGTAAAGCCAGAAGACGTGATGCTGACTATATCATCAATCAAGTGACAGTCGATAGATACAATTATCAGTCTAGCCTAATATGTCTGATGCACTGCTGGTGTAAAAAGAAAGACTTTATTCTTTTTAGGATATGATATATATTAGTGTATTCTAATCAAGACAGGTGTTTCTAATGTTTGACATGAACTGGACAAAAGCAGAAGTTATACGATTAGTGATTAGTGAGAATTGTAATCCTAGTACTCTGGACATATCCATAAGTGCTCTGATCTCCACTTAAACATTTAAAGTAGCGTAAAACGATTGATCACGACGTTATCCCTTTGGGAGCAAGTCATTCGATCCGATTTGTTTTTGAGCGGGAAAAATCGTCACATTTACCTAGCATCACCGAAGGGGGAGCTTTTGGTTATAACAGTGACAGGTTTTTCCTTCATTTTAAAATGGCTTTACGTTGCTTGCTAGAAAGTAGCTATTAAAGGACTCTTGCAGTGGTGGGGATAAAAACAAACACAAATACTTTCCTGACCGACTACGAATTCGTCTACAGGCCACCCAGTGGGCGACCCGGTGGCCGATGATGATATGTTGGAGCAAGTCAACAGTGCTGGTGCTCAAATAGATCGCTACAGTCTGATGAGAATGGCGCTGCAGGGAGTCACCAGGGGATCTGGCCAGATCTTAACACTAAAAGGAAAGGCAAGACTGATGTACAGACAGTTACTGGTGCCGTCAAAATGGCAACTCTTCGCTTGCTGCTGAAAAAAGGAACGGGGCGGTAATGAGAGTGTCCTAAGTGCTATGATGTCGATTCCAAATTTACCATTTAATAACATCCGACTTGTACGCTGTTCTGTGTTGATAATTTAAATATCTGTAACTCTTCCTGAAATGTTAACGTCCAGCAGACTGTATCCCAGAAGGCAACAATCAGGTCACGGACACGTAAAAATGCCTAATCATGCCAGTTCATTTTGCACGGTAATGATGGCAAGGCTTTTGCCGAACGAGTTGTAATCAGCAGCCTTTTCCTTCTTTTAACAGCGTAAGGATATATGTGAGTTTAATCTCATGTAAACATCAAAGGAAGATAGGTGTGTTAAATATGTTGTGACACCTTCACATATTGATTTACTCACTGAAATTAGGCATTGCTTTTTCTATCTATGCATCAGCATATTATTCATCCATCTACTAAACACATATATCACTATATACGCATATATATATATATATATATATATATATATATATATATATATATATATATATATATAGAATACAATATAAAAATAAAGTGTATTATTCCCTTCAATATCTGCTTAAGTCAAAGTGTCTGTCTTGCAACACTGAGATCAAAATATATAAAACGTTGAAAAGACCAGTCGTTTTATATGGCTCTGAAACTTGGAGCAGAAATAAAAGAGATGAGGCCTTATTACAGGTTTTCGAAAACAGTCTTACGATGAATCTTTGGACTTATCAAAGATGCTAACATCGGGGAATGGAGAGTGAGAAGCAACAACTTAACACATAATCTGTTTAAATCACGATTGATCACTGGCATCATGAGAGCTAACAGACTAAAATTGTTTGGGCACATGGAAAGAATGTCAGATGACAGAGAAGTAAAAACTGTATACACCTGAGAGAGGAATGGGCGTAGACCACGAGGCAGACAAAAAGTAAGTTCGAGAGATAATGTCCAGCCAGATCTGCAAACAACTGGTGTCACAAATTGTGAAGATAAGGCCAGCCAGAGAGATTAATGGAGACGAGTGATATCTGCAGCAGTAAACCTCAAGGGCTCAGAATGCTAAAGAAGAAGATGACTATTCTGTGCTACTTTATGTGAAGTAAAAGTTCAGCGTACATTTGACATTATGAATGTTTTTTTTTTTAGATATTTTTTTTTTTTACACTGTACACGTCCGAATAGTTGGTCCCGTTATTCGTATTCGGCGGCCAAATAGTGAAAATCACTATTCGGTGTACAGCCCTAATATATATATATATATATATATATATATATATATATATATATATATATATATATATATATATATATATAAACATATATTATATATAAGCTTTACAGTATCTCGGATTCATCCACTCCATCCACCCACTGAATCCATCGAAATAATGACACTTACGAAACAACAAAAACACCACACGCCCACCTAGCCGTTTATCATGTTATCTAGATGTTAACTGGCCGTTACCCTAGCAAATGAGTTAAATCTACCGAAATACCCGCCTACTTACCTAATTAACTTAATTTTATATTTACTCGATGGATTAACAATATGGCACACGGGTGTAACCCATAAGTGCTCCGTTCTACTTCTAACTTAAGTCTGAGTCTGAAGATTCTCAGCGCAGTGTACGAACTCCGTTGCACCGGCGAGGATCCTGAAATACTTTGAGTAGATTTTTAACTCTAAATTGTGCTCGTGCAGTGCCGTTAGGCTACTCTTTTCGATTTCCAACTGCCAAGGGATATGTTACGTGTGCAAAAATACACACGGGTGTCCGACCTTACTTCTCAGGTACTTGGGGAAATTACTAGAAGTCCACTTGAAACCAACCAAGCCATCGCCGGGGCTTGAACCCGTAACCTCATGCACTCGAGGCGGACACCAAACCTTGAGACCACTTACCCTCCCCCACCCCCAAATAATCAGCTTGTACCTAGCTAGCCAGCTAGCTACCTACCTACCAAAAAAAAGTATCCTCATGTCTATTCATTTACATGTCTGTCTTCTTACATATCATTAAGCCTGTCTAAATGTCTGCCTGCCTAAATGTTTGTCTTTCTTTTAATAATTGTTAGTAGAAAATTATCACATGTAATTTAAAAAAAAAAAAAGTTATTTGAGCAATAAAATTAATTACTGCATTTGACAGAAGCAGTGGCAATTAAGAAGTCAGTGCTGCAGTGTGTAAATCAAAAGAACACACTGTAAATTTCACACTTCCGTAATACTCGCGTGCGTGATTGATTTTGAACTTTCTTTGGCTATATATAGAATTTAATAGCTGGTAATGTAATATTATTTTTCACTCAACAGGGATCTGTTTTGTGATTTGTTGTATGCACATGATGAGATACAACAAAATAAGTCATGCAATAAATGTATAATGTATTGCTTGTGTCCGCATTATGTAAATTCACTAGGGGGAAATATTGTTGTGTATTTATTAAAAATACTAAACAAAAGATTAGAAGATATGAACTTTCAGAAAACAGTTCCAGGCTTCACATGAGCAAAATCAATTTAACAGTTTGTAATAATGTAATGTCTTCCATGCGACATGATTATGGAAATGAAAAAGTCTGCCTGTGTTAGTTTGAACGAGCGATGTGTTGCATAAGGAAACATTAACTCAGAATATAATTTAATAATCGTAGCCCATAAGTTGTGATTTCTTTAGCAGTCTGTGCGTTTCGCTTTGGTTTTGAAAACCGGAAACTTAAGATATTGCAACTGTTGTAAAGTTCTGTATACATTGCATAATGAAGTCAAAATGGCTATAGGAAGAAAATGAAAATGAGCTGTGGGAACTGTCAGTCTTCGACTGAGATAATTCTTAGACAATGTTTGGAAGAACTGTTAGACATGGATCAGGAAAACTGTATTGCATGGAGTGGAAGAATTTTCAGACATGAATTTTGAAATGTTGTTATCCATTGATAGCAGGGTACGGATTAGGAACATTTGATGCGCTAAGCACTTACAAAATTTAGTGCCCCCCCCCCCCACTAGAGCCGTCTTAACAGCATTATGGGCCTCTGGACAATCCACTTTGCTGGGGCTCCTACGACAACGACCCATAGGAATCAGCAATGAATGGTCACTTGTCATACACAGATTAGCATAGGGCCCTTACACTAGATACCCCCCAACTCCTCCGCAAGTGCCCAGTAGGCATATGCGTTACGATTACACCGATGTTTCTATATATATGTTTGAACACACACACACACACACACACACACACACACATATATATATATATATATATATATATATATATATATATGCATGTGTGTGTGTGTGTGTGTGTGTGTGTGTTTAATTTAAAAACATTCAGCACAAACAATAATAAACCACGACAAATTTTTGTAATAATCGAAATTAAACAAAACCTACAATTACATTGAAAATAATGTCTTCCTTTTGGGGAATACTTTCCCTTTTTCCCCCCTTATATTTGAACAGTTTTCTCCTACTTTTAAAAATTGCATTCTTTGGTCAGATCCGCAAATCTAATCTTATGTAACACTATACTTAATATAGATAAGGCATCCAGCCTGACTTGTTGCATTGTTGTTCTGACAGAGATGTCCTCAGCACTTTTCCTTAGTTACTTTCATAGCGTGATATAGAACAGGGAGTAAGTCATGCTATTTGTTGGGATGGTCTGACTTGTCTTTGGATGACGTATCAAGGGCACGCTGACTTTCGTCTGTCATTTTGAGGAGAGGAGAAGGAGGCTTTGTAAGTCTGTGCGGGTGACTCTCACTTGTAGTTTTTAGTTGTTTTCTGCCTAAAATATGTAGAGGTTACAGCAGGGAGGCTGAAGAACTGCTTGCAGTTCTGAAGGCTTGCACATAATATATTTTTGTACCCTGAATTAAGTTTTGTGTGGTTCATGAAGGGAATGCCATTAACCTTAATGACTGTCGTATCCTATCTCCTGCCATCACATGCCTTTTACTTATTATGCTCTGAATGTCACGGCCAGTACTGATTTC